CATATGCCTATCTAATAGCCGCTTAAATGCCCCTAATGAGGCCGATGGGCCAGGAGCAGGCAAGTGGGACTGGTTTAGTTTGGGATTAAGATCGGCATGGACTGGTTGGGCCGAAGGGTGTGTTCCCATGCTGTATGACTCTATAATGGTACATCTTAAAAGTGGTATTTTAAGCAGAATTGCTTTTTGCTGTAGGCCAGAGCCCATGACAGTGCTACCTGCAGCTGCATATATCCACTTGTTCTTAGACTCTTGTTATGCGTGGGATGGAGGGAGCGCAATGAACTTTATCTCATGGGCAATTGAGTCCAACTCATTTACAATTTCCAGTTTTGAGGAAGGGTCACCAGACCCGAAACGTTAACCCTGATTTCTCTCCACAGATGCTGCCAGACCTGCTGAGCTTTTCCACCAATTTCCGTTTCTATTTCTGATTTACAGCATCCGCAGTTCTTTCAGCACAGTTTTAAGGTATGAATCAGGAGGTTTAGAGGGAATTTGAAGAAAAAATAACTTTAAACTGAAGGGTTGTGTGTGTCTGGAACTCACTGCCTGAAAGGGTGGTAGATGCAGGAAACCTCCTGACATTTTAAGAACGAATTAGATGAACACTTGAGATTAACATACAAAAGGTCGAGGGCCAAGTGCTGGAAAATGGGATCTAAATAGGTATATATTTGATGACTGGCCTGAAGGGTCTCTTTCCATGCTGTAAAAACTCTCAGCAGGGCTGGAGTGTCAGTCCAGGACAATAACAAAAGTACTGAAAGAGTGAGACCAATCACATTAAAAATCAGGACTGGAAAACGTGTGTAATCATCCTTACAAATATGAGGAAAGTCTGGATTAATGGAAGATCAGGAATACTGGGAGTTGAGAATGGCTATAGTCACAGCCTGTTGTGACACATTTACCAGGAGCTCCATCCTGGCAGTGTAAAACTCCATTACCCAGGCAACACATACTCCCCCAGCCAACCTCCTGAACACTTCACCCCCGCCTCCATTAAAACATCCCATTACAATCCCCTCCACCACAACACAAGTGGTTTTACTCCATTTAAATGTGATTACTATAGCAACAGAGTGTTCTGTCTGGCAGCCAGCAAGAGCTCAGAGATAATGGATGTGAGATGATTTTATTGGTTACTTGCACAGGTCTGTGAATCTCTTACCAATTACGCAGAAACAAATTCAGTGAAGCAGAGAAATCAGCCAAGTGACTTTTGGTCTGAACCTCCGCGCATGCACTTTGCAACAAAAAGCCAGCTTTTACATAAAAACACTGAGAGATAGAAATCCTGTTCAGAGTTATTTTGTTCAATCCCCCCCACACTTGCGCCATTTTGTAACCAATGGCCAGTTTAGCCCCGTCCAGTTTGAAGATGAATTTCTCCCCCTGCGGTCTATAGCTGGAGCAGCATTCCATGGGGATAGGCCTGTGCTTGGATTCCAGTTCACACAAGGGTCCTGGGAGATCCTTACCTCCTATTCCTGCACCACAATGTGCTGAAATGGTCTAGAGAGCCAATTAGCTCAAGGACAACTAGGGGTGGGCAATAAATGCTGGCCTTGCCCACACCTCTATGAGAATGAAGGAATAAAAAGCACTGCTCTGTCTAGACATGGCTTACCAAAGGCTGTCCTGTCTGGTTTGCATTCCAGTTACCTATCTATCGAGTTTGGACATGGGGCAGGGTAGGTGGGAGAGTCGTTTCAGATAGGGACCTCTGATATTAGTCATCTGCAGTTAGGAGATGGTGGAGTTTGGGTTTTTGAGGCTGAATGCATCAAGAGAATGCACGCAGTCCGAACTAACATCATCCTCTTAACGATAAACAGATTACAATTCTGTTTGCAATTAAATCAAGTCTAATCACCCGAGTTACTGTGCTCTGGGCTCATGGGATGTTAAAGAGATGCCTGTTATACAGAACAAGTGATATCACTGGGGAAAGAGCCATGGGAATGCCGGAGGCTATTCAGTCCCTCAGGTACGTTCTGCCTGATTTCAATAAGGTCATGATTGAGCTGTGACCAAACTCCATAATTCCTCCTTTCCACATATTGCTACCTCTGTGCAGCATGGTGTCTCAGTGGTTAGCACTGCTGCCTCACAGCACCAGGGATCTGGGCTTGATCCCACCCTTGGGTAACTGTCTGTGTGGAGTTTGCACATTCTCCCTGTGTCTGCATGGGTTTCCTCCCACAGTCCAAAGATGTGCAGGTTAGCTGGATTGGCTGTGCTAAATTATCCATAGTGTGTGCACTAGCCATGGGAATTACAGGGTGGGATGCTCTTCAGACAGCCAAATGACTTCTTTTCTATGATTCAAAACAAAACCTATAGATGCCAGATATAAAATTAAGAATTGATCAATTAATAGTGGAAAAACCAGTCAAATTTGGAAATGTCACAATTAATCTCGTATCCTTAAAAAGGCAAGTCCAGTGTGGATCAGTACATTGCCATTTCCAAATCTGACATTTTTTTTTAAATTGCTGTTTGTGGAAGAGAAGTCCAATCCTTCAGCTGTCTTGTCTGTGTGTAGACATGTTTAACAATTTCACACCTTAAGGTTCTGACTCAAATTTTCAGGTTAATGTTCCCAAATGCTGGACACCCTCAAGAAGTGGTTTCTCTCTACTTATCCAGTGTGTTCCCTTCATACCTGGAAAATTCTGATTAAATTGCCCCATAAGCTTCTACATTAAGAAATATCCCACCATGTTTTGTGCAATCTCTTCTCATCATTTAGTCTGCTGCTGTATCTTCTGGTTTTGTATCCTGTGTTTCTTCTGTGTTTCAAGATGGCGCTGAGCAGTGGCAACACTAAACAAAGCTTTTCACTGTTTTCGTAATACATGTGACAATAAATAAATCTCAATCTAAATCTTCGAATTCTGATATCATTCTGATAAAAACATGCTGTGCTTTTTCTCATCACTGACATTGCAATGTACCGTCAGAACATGTCCTCACAACTTGGCTGTGACTGAGTGGGTGACCTCTGGCCTCTGCGTTAGAAAATTGTGGGGTCGCGACACGTTCCGGCATGTGAGCCCTGTAATCCAAGCCCGATACTCGCAGTGGCGGTGCTGGGGGAGCCCTGCACTGTTGAAGATGCCTTCTTTCACACGGCGCTGCCAAACGGAGCGAGTAACTTTGTGAGATTTTCTGAAGCAGGCTCCCGACCCAAAACGTCAGCTTTCCTGCTCCTCTGATGCTGCCTGGCCTGCTGTGCTCATCTAGCTCCACATTTTGTTATCTGAGTAACTTTGTGAGAAGTTTCCCTATTGTCCTGAACTATTTACACCCCGCTGCCAACTAACGACTGGACCCGACTGTGTGGCGACATCGCCATGTCGCTGCTTGTGGGATCTTGCTGTGCGCACACGGCTGCTGTGTTTCCTACATTGCAACAGCCCCTTTAAGTGTGTTGTGAAGCATTTTCTGAAGCTTTAAAAGGTAATATATAAACGCAAGTTCAATGTTTGTGCTTGACCTTGCAGTCTTCAGGTTGATCTATGTGTATACTCTGGCAATCTCGTTGAAACAGATAAAATTCTGACCAGGTTTGACAGGGTCAATGTTAGGCGAGTCTCCCACCCTTCCCCCTCCCTCCATACGTACTCCAGGCTAGAAGGAGGGGTCACACCCTCAGCATAAGGGCTCAGCCATTTAGGACTGAGGTGAGGCAAGATTTCTTCATTCAAAGGATTGATAACAAATCCAAGGATTCACAGCACCAACTTCTATTTATATTGTATCCTTGGTGGAATGAGACATTCCCAGATGGTCCACAGGAGCATTAAGCAAGACACCAGGCCACATGAGGAGATATCAGGGCAGATGAGTAGATGCTTGGGCGGGGAGGGAGGTTTGAAGAGGTGATTTCAAGAGGCAAAGCGAGGTTTTGAGAGACAGTCATTGAGGAGAACATTCTAGAGATTGGGTCCCAAGTTGCTGAAGGCTCGGCCTCACCAATGCCACAGCAATTATAAACAGGAATGTACGTGAGGGTGGCAGAATTAGGGGAGGTCAGAAATCATGGAGAGTTTGGACTGGATTATGGAGGTAGGGAGTGGGGAGGTCATGGAAGGATTTGAAAACATTACTGAGGATGTTAGTGCAGCGAGCTGCTGATTATCAATCACCGAGTGTAGATTGATATATTTTCATTCACAGTTCGAAGGGATGGGTCTGGTTAGGAACACACCATTAATGGAGAGGATCAGCTGTAACTTTATTGATTGGTGAGCAGCTAAAGGGGCCTACTCCTGCTCCTATCGTGAACTTATTGTATTGAAAGAAACATAAAACACAGAACACAGGCCCTTCAGCCCACCATGTCTACACTGACCAGGATGCCATTCTAAACTAAGGTGGCTCAGTGGTTAGCACTGCTGCCTCACAGTGTCAGGGGTCTGGGTTCAATTCCATCCTTGGGTGACTGTCTGTATGGAGTTTGCACATTCTCCCCGTGTCTGTGTGGGTTTCCTCCAGGTGCTCCGGTTTCCTCCCATAGTCCAAAGATGTGCCTGTTAGGTGGAGGCAATGGCCTAGTGATATTATCACTGGACTGTTAATCCAGAGACCTTTATAACATTCTGGGGACCTGGGTTCGAATCCTGCTATGGAGTTTGAATTCAATAAACAAAAAATCTGGATTTAAGAATCTAATGATGACCACGTACCCATTGTCAGTTGTCACAAAAAGCCTGCCTGGTTCGCTAGTGCCCTTTAGGGAAGGAAACTGCCATCCTTACCTGATCTGGCCTATATGTGACTCCAGACCAACAGCAATGTGGTTGACTCTGAACTGCACTATGGGCAATAAATGCTGCCTAGCCAGCAATGCCCTCATCCCTCATCCCCAAAAAAAAAGGATTGGCCATGCTAAATTGCCCTGTGATGTCCAGGGAGGTGCAGGCTAGGTAGATTAACCATGGGAAATGCAAGGATAATATTGGGGGGGGGTAGGTCTGGCTGGGATGTTCTTTGGAGGGTCAGTGTGGACTTGATGGGGGTGAAGGGCCTGCTTGCACAGTGTAGGGATTTTATGAAACTAATCTCATCTGCCTGCACATGGTGAACTTGTCTCTGCGTTCAATCTCAGTGTAAAACTGGATTACTTATGCAATTTGCTTTGCATATTTTACTTCCTCCAAGCAGTAACATTTCCGGTTAAAAGATTTCACATTGACACTGTGCTTCTCTAGTCAAGATTGGTGTTTCAGAATTAATCTGACCAGATTGGAATGCGTGAGAGCTGAAAATAAATTAGTATTTTCTCTGTGAAATGATTCTCCACAAAATAATTTGAACTCCTTCCAACAAACTGGTTGAAAATTCGGAACAGCACCTGGGATGAGGACAAGGGGTGAAACATCGCAGGAAATAGGAGCATGTGTAGGCCATTCGACCCTCACATCTGCTTCACCATTCCAAACAATCATGGCTGTTCCTGGCTTTCGACTCCACTTCCCTGCACACCTTTGCTCAGTCCTAAATGATCAGCCCCTTATCCTGAGGCCGTGTGCCCATATTTTAGATTCCCTTGTGCAGAAGAATAATCTTCCAAACCAACAACCACTTCCATCCAGAAGGACAAGGGCAGCAGATACATGGGAACACCACCCTCTGTAAGTTCCCCTCCAAGCCCCTCACCATCCTGACTTGGAAATATATCACCGTTCCTTCACTGTCCTTGGGTCAAAATCCTGGAATTCCCTCCCTAAGGGCATTGTGGGTCAACCTACAGCAGGAGGACTGCAGCGGTTCAAGAAGGCAGCTCACTACCACTTTCTCAAAGGGCAACTAGGGACGGGGAATAAATGCTGGTCCAGACAGCAAAGCCCACATCCCACAAATGAATAAATAAAATCTCTCAGCACCTGCCCTATCAGGTCTGTTCAGAATCAGAGATAGTAAGAACCGCCGATGCTGGAGTCTGAGATAACACAGAGTGGAGCTGGAGGAACACAGCAGGCCAGGCAGCATCAGAGGAGCAGGAAAGCTGATGTTTCAGGTCCCAAGCATTTCATGTCTGAAGAAGGGTCCCGACCTGAAACATCAGCTTTCCTGCTCCTCTGATGCTGCCTGGCCTGCTGTGTTCCTCCAGCTCCGCCCATTCAGAATCATATCTTTCTCAATGAGATCACCTCTCATTCTTCCGAACCTTAGAGAATATCGGCCCCATTTTCTCAGTCTCTTGGTATAGGGACAAATCTGGTAAATTTTCAACTTCAACGCCAGTATATCCCTTTTGTAAGTGCGGAAACCAAATGTGCACACAGTACAACAGCAACTACAGCTCTTTATTCCTGCACTCCAATCCAACCAGGCAACATTTACCCCAGGTTACTGTTGGCCATTACTGCCATTACTAATGCGACATCACTCACAGATATCCCCAAACATTGTTCAGTCAAAATCCTGGGATTCCCTCCCAAACAGCATTGTGGGTCTACCCACAGTACATGGACTGTAGCGGTTCAAGAACATAGCTCACCACCACCTTCTCAAGGGCAAATAGAGATGGGCAATAAATATTGGCCTAACCTGTGACACCCACATCCCATAAATGAATTTAAAAATGCCCTATCCAGGTTTGATTTGGTTGGGATCATTTGCAGTTTGGAAAGTTTCTACATATACATTAGTAGCATTTTGTAAGAGTGCCCTTAGTGACACATTAATAGTCTGATTCCCCTGCTGTGTTGTCCCATTCCTCCATCTCTAACCCTGGCACAGAGACTCAGCACCTTAAAATGCATCACAGTTCCCCTTCAATAAGATATATTGATTTAAAACTGAACTCACACATTAGGTAGATGTGATAAATTATCCTAGTTTTTATTTAAATTGTTTTAACTTGAAACTAAATCTGCTAAAACCTCCTGTGACTCCCAGAGTGAAAGAAAATCAGTTGACATTTCAACAACATGTCTGACCACCCCAACTAGAGCGAATTAACATCACAGGGCAGATTTGGATTGAATTAGATTAGAACAATAGTTTTGAGGATTTATATACATTCTTGGGGGGGTGGGGAGAGGTGGATTAAAAACTGAAAAAAAAACACTGACATTTGTTCAAATGCAGCAGAAACTAAAAATCGGTGGACTGTTCATCTGGGCACATCAGTAATTCCTTAAAAAAAGGCATTCCTACCTGGGGACTAATTATCTGAGCAGCAACATGAGAATTGGTTAGGGTTCAAGGAATTGCATGGCACGTTCCAAATATCAAGCTTTTGTGGGGCTTTGGTTTGTTTGTTCTGTGTTGTGTATCAACACGGACCAAATGCACAGGTTTAATAACCTCATTTTTTAAAACAATGTGTGACTACCCACCCCACCTTTATGTGGATGCAGTCAGCAGCTGGGTGCACTGACAAACGCTGCAGGACTGGGGGAAAGGACATGGAGGGAAAAGCAAAGGTATATAAATATATATATATATTATAAACAATCTGGAAATGTGACTCTCTCTCTCTCTCTCAGATAGGCGCCTCACCTCTCTGTTGAATTCTAGCAGTGCATTCTGTACCGCATCCTGGTCACCCGTTTGCAAGATGTCAATTAATAGGCTCAGTTCCATTCTCAGCGACAGAGATAGGGTTGAGAGCTGGGAGATCTCGCCTCAGATTCCCAGCAGATTTCTCGATCCTTGGAGTTCGGGAGGATCAGACGGGGAGAAAATTAATGCTAAATCCTCTCTCTGTGTGTGTGTGACAGGCAATGACATCACCAGAATGGGAGGAGAATAAAGCTATCTTCAAAACACACTGACTCTACCACCATCTCAGTTCCTGCTCTCTCTGTCTCGGTGATATTGAATAGGGATTAACCCATTGATGTCCATGTTGTGCACAGTCATTTTTTTGAGAATGTTTAGATAAAATTGTCCTTGGTCATGTCCGTGAATTGTATATTAATTGTGTTTAATTGGTTTTTCTTGTCTGATCACAGATAAGGAGACTTTTATTCAAACAGAATGGGAGTGATAGCGAGGAATGGGTTTGGAGGTGTTGTTAGAGAGGGGAAAGATTTAACAGGGTCCTGTGGGGCAACTTTTTCACACAGAAAGTGGTGCCTGTATGGAACGAGCTGCCAGAGGAAGTGGTGGAGGTTGGTACAATTACAACATTTAAAAGGCATCTGGATGGGTACATGAATAGGAAGGGTTTAGAGGGTTATGGGCCAAATGCTGGTAAAAGGGACTAGATTAATTTAGGATATCTGGTCGGCATGGACAAGTTGGACTGAAGGGTCTGTTTCTATGCTGTACAGCTCTATGACCCTACACACATGAATAGGCCTCTTGGCCCCTTGATCCTCTCCTGTCAACTAATAAGATTGTGGCTGATCTGCTATTTCACCTCAACTGTATACTCTCACATGTCTCCGATAATCTATCATATTTATCTAAATCGACCTGTTCGGGCACATCTCAAGTCTCTAGACTTGAACCCAGGCCTTCTGACCCAAAGGTAGGGACACCACTACTGTGCCACAGGAACCCTGGAGTTTAGAAGGGTAGATATTTAATTAACTTGCGCAGGTATGTAATGCTAGATGTCTGGAGCAAGTGGGACTTGAACTTGGGTTCTGGCTCAGAAGCAGGGACACTACCTCAGCACCCCAAGAGCCTTGGGTTTGGGGATGTATGCTTGCAAGCTTTGACTCTGCAAATAAATGTGAGAGTGCGTGAAGATTGGTCCCAATGCAGTCCGTTACTGACTCGCTTTCTGGATTGAAACAGAGAGACAGATTTCCTGATTAGTACTAGAACCCTCTCTCTCTCTCTCTCTGACTCCCATCAGACACCAAACTACACAATTACATTCCATTGACAGATTAGCGAGTAAGGACTATTGGGGGAGCAGAGACGAAAGTGGAACTGGGACCGCAGCCAGATCAGGTGTGATCTCCTTGGATGGCACAGCAGGCTTGAAGGGCCGAGTGGCCTGTACCTCCAGTCTTTCTGGCCAGTCATCCAATGGCAGATCCTGCAGAATCCGATGTGGGAAACCCCAGAGACAGCAGTGAAAGGAAGCCAATCAGAAGCTAGCATTCCCCTTTGTTGCGGCACAAGCTACCGAATTCGAGTAAACATTCAATGGCACATGGGAATGTTTCAGGATGTTTAAACAGCTTTACAGTGGGTTAATTTGCAGGTGTATAAGTGGGTAAGGGTGGGCACGCACACACACGTGCATAAACACATGCATATGCACACACCCAAACGTGCATTACGAACATACACATGCATGCATACATATGCACAGATACACATGCACAGACACACAAGCACACACACACATACACACCCACACAGATACACACACACACAGACACACACACCCACACACATACACACCCACACACACACACACACAGACACACACACACACACCCACACACACACACACAGACACACATGTGCACACACACACACAGACACACACCTACACACACACACACACAGATACACATGCACACACATACACACATGTGCACACACACACACAGACACACACCTACACACACACACACACAGATACACATGCACACACATACACACACACACACACACACAGATACACATGCACACACATACACACACACCCACACACACCCACACACACACAGATACACATGCACAGACACGCAAGCACACGCACACACACACACACACCCACACACACACAGATACACATGCACAGACACGCAAGCACACGCACACACACACACAGAGACACACACCCACCCACACCTACACACAAACAGACACACACACACACACAAAAACATACATTTGTACAAGTATGGTTGTTTGTAATCAAACTGGATTCATAATTATGGGCTAAACAGGATGGAACTCTACTCACTGGAGTTTAGAAGAATGAGAGGTGATCTCATTGAACCACATGGGATTTGTAAGGGGCTTGACAGGGTAAATGCTGAGAGGATGTTTCCCCCCATGGGAGAGTCTGGGACCCAAGGGCACTCTTTCAGAATAAAGGGGCAGCAATTTAAGTCTGAGATGAAGAGGAATTTCTTCTTTCAGAGGGTTGTGAGTCTTTGGAATTCCTTGCCACAGAGAGCTGTGGGGACAGAGTCCTTGTGTATACTTGAGGCTGAGATTGACAGAGTCGTGATCAGTCGGGCAATCAAGGGATACAGGGAAAGGGCAGGAAAGTGAACGTGAGGAACGTTAGATCAGCCATGATTCTCCTGAATTATCCCAGCAAGCCACTCAGTTCAAGAACATTTAGCAACAAATGTTGGCCCAGCCGGAGATGCACGCATCCCATGAAAGAATAAATTACAAAACGATTAAGGGTTCGGTGGAGGTCATGGGGTGACAGTAAAAAAAACGGGGTCTTATTAAAACTGACAACACACAAAGAGGCTATTTGGCTCATCTTTCCTGTGTAGTTGAAAGAACGATGTCAAAAATTTGATGGTTTGAGTGGGAAATGATTTTGGTGACAGAACTGGCCGACAATTGGACAGAGGGACATTTGGAGGAATATCTTATAAGAGGAAAGCAAGGAGGGGCAGCTGGAGGTGGGAGTATAGGAGGGATTTCCAAAACCTATAGCAATCGAAGGAACAGCCATCAATGGTAAGGGGATTAAAATTAAGGGGTGCCCAAGAGGCCAGAATCTGAGGAGGTAGGAAATCTCTGAGTGTTGAGGGAGCTGGAGGAGACTGGGGAGAGGGTAATGTTGTGGAGGGATTCGAATACAATGATGAGAATATTTTAGTCAGTGTGTTACTGAAGCAACAGTTAGCTTTATGATACCCTGACTATGCAGACACTCTTGTGCGCCAATGTTCACTGTACTCCTGAAAGTAGCTGTAAATTGCAACAAAATCCATCTCTGTCTGTATTATACAAGATTTTATTTTGATGTCATTAAAAATCATCCAAATTCTCTCAATACATTACAGAAATATAGAAACAAGCAATAAATAAATAAATACCAGCTCTGTTGAGATGGGGCAAGAACAAGTTACAGAAAATACAACAGGCACCACCACAGATATTGGAAAGTCCACAGTTTGTAGGGTGTAGATGTTCTCGTTATAGAGTTAACTATGGGGCATGGGGAGGAGGTCGGAGGGTAATGGAGGAAGTATCTGTCTCCATTTGATTTGATGATGCAGCTTTGAAGAATGAGTTCACCATTTGTCTGCGCTTGAGGTTTGAAGAATTAGACAGATCAAATGCCAGAGAATGGGAGATCGAGATCCATGGGGAGAAGATGCCATGTCCACTAGATGTGCCAGCCTGGCTTGGCAGCTGAGAAAGAGAGACCAGGAAGGTGCACACACTTCCCCAGTGCCCAGCTCTGCCATACACTCCCACAATGTGGTGCCCTAAAGGATACCTCAAGCACATCCATGGGGCATGCAATCCCTACAGCTTGGAAGCAGGCCATTCAACCCATCAAGTCCACACCAACCCTCCAAAGAGCATCCCTTCCAGACCTACTCCCTCTATCCGATCCTATCCTAGAATTTGCTACAGCTAACCCACCCAGTCTGCACATCCCTGGAGCAATCTATCATGGCCAATCCACCCTAACTTGCACAGCTTTGGACTGTGGGAGGAAACCGGAGCACCCAGAGGAAACCCACACAGACACAGGGTGAACATGCAAACTCCACACAGACAGTCGCCTGAGGGTGGAATCAAACCCGGGTCACTGTTGCCATGAGGTAGTGGTGCTAACCGCTGAGCCATCATGCCTCCCATCTGAACAGGAGGATCTCCCTGGAAATATAGTCACTGGCATTGACACCAGCACCTCTGGAGAGTCGGAGCCCCAGTGGGATCAGTTTGAATTGGAATATTTCAGATGTTACATCAATAGAAAGAGGCCATTCAGCCCATTGATCTGATGCTGGTGCTTTGAGGGAGGCATCCAAATATCTGCACTACCCGCTGCCTTTTCCCCATCGTCCTGGAAATAGTTTCTACTTCAGACCATTACACAATATATTTTTGAAAGGATAGCTTCTACCAGCATTTCAGGCTGTGCATTCCAGATTTTACCAAATTGCTGTTTTAAAAGAAAAATCACCTTGCCCTCCCCTCTGGTTCTTTTGCTGATTTTAATCTACTGCCCCTCCTGCTATTGGAGATTGGTTGCTAAAGCCCTTCCTGTCCCCCATGCAGGGTTTGGTTAGATAGCTTCACTCATACTGTACAAACCTCCTCTACTTCAGTATTTCACCTGCCCCATTACACCTCCCACCTCATCACCAAATTTGGGCTGGACTTCAGGACGAGATATCAGCAGAACCATAGCACAGTTCCCCGCCCCCCCCACCCACCCACCTGGCTGTAGGGTGCTCATGACTGTTAAAGTTGTCGGGCTGTTGGACTGCAAAAGGCATCGCAGTGGAGCCCAATCTCGAGCTCGCCGACCAATCGGTGCTTTCCAGCCAGGTGGTCAGTGTTAGAACTGAGATGCCTTTTGTAGCCAAGTGCCTTTGACACTCAACATCAAGTCACTCACTGAATCGTGGGCACTCAGCCAAATAGAGTCATAGAGTTGTACAGCATGGAAACAACTCATCCATGCCAACCAGATATTCTAAATTAATCTGGACCCATTTGCCAGCATTTGGCCATTCATGTACCCATCCAGCTGCCTCTTAAATGTTGTAATTGTACCACCCTCCACCACTTCCTCTGGCAGCTCATTCCATACACACACCA